TTTTTTTTTTTTTTTTTTTTGAGACATGGTCTCAATTTTCAGTCCAGGATGGCCTCGAACTCGTGATGATCCTCCTGCCTCAGCCTGCAAAATTACCAGTTTTATAAACTGCTAACTTCAGTAGAATTGTATGTGACTGTGCCTAGCTAAACAGACACTGTATCATCAAATTCTTTGATTCCGCCAGGCTGACTTCCAATTAAAACAACAACCACCGGAATTTACAAACTTTTGATGATAAAATGAATCAATGCCTAAGAATCTATGTCTGTTAAGGCCTGAAATATAATTGTGACCAGGTGTCTTTGTGATACTGTGTACCTAAGAACTTCTGTATCTATCCTATTGCCTTCTCGTTTTGTAATTTTGAATAAGGCATTTGACTTCTCCTGAGACTCAGTTTCTCTCATTTGTCCAATGGAGAGAACTCTACTGTTGCTAGTTGGCAGGGTTTTTGAAGAGCAAATAGTCACTTTATGTGAAAGTGCTTTGTAAGATGTTACTTTCTGTGACTCCTAGTTATATTTTATTTAAGAAAAATATCTCGAGTATCAGTGTACATTCTCCATCAAAAACCAGGTGTGTAGAATGGGCTGCCTTCATACAGATGCTGTCTGGTAAAGAAAACTCCAACAAGGAATTTGTGCTAGGTCCAGCCCAGCAGTAGAACATGTGCTTAGAATGTGCAAGGGCCTGGGCTTCATCCCTAGTACCACATTATAAAAGTTTGTACTGGTAACCTTATGTGTATTAAATTTACCACCTGTTTTGTGGACTAACATTCTAATACTTCTTTCACAGCAGTGCAACTTACGACTTTGGAAAAGCTAATTGTGAAGTAAAATGGGATTTTGAAAGGAGATACATTTTATATCTCTTATAGAAGAACACTTCAAAGTAGGTATCTTGTGAGGATATTTATTTAACTTCTGCCTTTTCTTTCGTTACCTGGAATGTGGCTGCGGCAAGTGTAAAAGAGTTCTTTGCAATAGTCTTTGCAGAGGAAGGGAAGCAGTAGATCTCTTTCCACGACTTCTCTCTCAGGTGAGTGGAAAAGGCTCTGAGAATGTGGAGAGCAAAATGCACATTTGACTTCTTCCAATAACTTCTCACATTCTGTGTTGTTGGTAACAGAAAATATCTGAAAGCATTAAGTCAGAAACAAACATCTTTTTAGTTATGTCAAGTTAGATTTGTTTGTATTTTTTTGCAATCATTTTAAGTAGCAAATTCTCCATCAGCCAAGGAAGTTTGCTAAAAAAGAATTACTATGTCACAATCCAGGGTGCCTTTGTAAGTACACAAGTTGTCTTTGGGGCTGGGATAGGAAAACAAAAGTCAGGAATGTATAAAAGTGCTGCTTACTCTCACAAATCAGTCTATGAATCTGTCTTTCAGGTGGTGAAGAACTTAAAAGACAATTACACACGGGTTGTTTAATGCCCTATCGCTGTGTTCTGTTGCAGTGTATCTACAGAATGACATTTAATTTTTTAAAATTCCTAATACCTCTATCCAACTTCATGCAAAACAGTTTTTAAAGACATGGTTTATTTAGGTGAAAAATCTATTTCATTCCTGAAATTCCTTATACGACAGTCTCAAAAATGTACCTGAATAGCATTTTTTAAAATTTCTGTCGATTTTCAATCTATCGACTGGGTGAGGAAAGTTTTCTAAACTGTCTTTCATATTCTACAAAAATACTCTAAACTGAATCAAACATATTTAAGAACAGTCTTTATTATTCATTATATCTTAGCCAGGAAAAACTTCCTAACTAGCTTCTCGGCTACGTTATATGTGTGATTCAACGGAAGAGTTTAATAAAAGTGCTTTTGTATAGTAGTGAATTTTAAAGAAAAAAAAGGCACACTTTTATTATTATTTTTATAATGATACATCTTTTCTTTCAGTAAGGCCAATTTAGGACTTACTGATTCATTGCTAGAGTAGGTCTTGATATCTGATACACATCTAAAAAACTGACATAAGGAACTCTTGATAATTTCAACACAATATTTGGAACATGATGTGCTATAATAAATCAAACACTGATTTTTTTTTATATTAAAAGCATCCCAATGTGAATAAATTATACTTTCCCAATTATGTGACATTTCTACTTACTTTGTTTTTCTTTTGAACTATGTGCTAAAACAAGCATTTTAAGCTCTATATCATTGTTTAAAGCAAATATTTAATTCACAAGTTGAGCTTCCAACTTTAGTAAATCACAGCCTCTAACTTCCAAGATTATGATATCATAGATGATTACCAAAATCTGGATCTGGAGGAGCAAAGTAACAACGACAAAAAAAATCACTGAATAAAAGCATGCTAAAATTTAGGCATTCAGTATTTAAGTCAAAAGGAGTTATGCTATGCCAGGAAAAAAAATGATACTACGTTAGTAGTAACCATACAATATTCAGAAAAATTACTAATCATAGTTATATTTACATTTCATTTTTAACAATTTATTTATATGACAACTGCTTGAATGGTTAAAGTTTTCTAAAAGGAAACATAAACCAGACACTTAGAATTTGCACTCCAAGAATGTTTTAAATATCTTTTATTGTCCATACTCTGGCAGACCTCATCAGGTCTATTCAATATTGCTAGTGCTCAACTCAGTCCTGTTTATCATACAGCAGTCTACTAAACACAGAACAATTGCAAGACACTAAAGCCATCTCTTCCTGCTGGCTAAAAAAAATGGGATTGCAGATACCTCTGGTTTTATGGAGAATATTCATGCTTCTCTTTTTTTTATAGTTGAGACAAAATGATCCCCATATACTCTCCCGCTGCTATCCAGGAAGAGCTTGAATTTTAGTGCCTCAAGAATTTTGTCTTTTACAGTTTTTGGAATGTGTCTTGGCCACAAGTCTCTCATCAAAAGTTTCGGAAATAGGATTCAATAAATTATCTGAAATCAAGTATAATATTATTCTTTTTAAAGTTTCATGCTGTTCCGGCCCAGCAGGATGGTAACATTTTGCTCTGTGTGAGGTCTGCAGTGTAAATACCTATTTGAAGATAGATAGAGCCATCATTCTGGCTTTGGTCTCAATGAACCAATAGTCTTACTGAAGTCAATTAAACCGACTCAACCAAAGCTGCAGCACTGGTTTAGACAGATGAGTACTGGTGTATGCACGGTGATGTTTTTCCTTTCTTTTTCTTTCTTGGTTTTTGCCTGTGTGTCTATGTCCATATAGGTCCTTAACTTTATGTCTGACAGTACAATCAATCTTAAGAAGAAATTGATGCTAATTTCCTGTTTTGATTTTTAAAAACCATTTATACAAAACCATCAAATTACAGTGGTCTAAACTATGTATACTTTGGAAGTCATGTAAAACTTCGAAACATTATTACAGCATGCCTAGTAATGATTGTGGCTGTTGCTGACTAATTTGTAACATCTGGTAGGTCATCCTTTAATCTTTGGCCACATGAAAGTGAAATCCACAGAAAAAAGTTCAGATAAATACTGGAGTACAGAGTAAAGTGTGGCCTATAACTGCAGCTTATCAACAAACAGTAAAATGGGTGACAGAGACCTTCTGTATTTCTCTTTATTTATCAACTAACTAAACAAAGAGGGTAAAAAGGCACCCACGTGGGTTGAATGAAGGGACAAAAGGAGAAAAATACATGACAGTATATTAAGATGTCGCTTTAAAATCACTTGGTACACAAAATGTTATTTCTAAAAATCATATGCCTACAAGGTTGTTCAGCTGTTGTGTAGAACACATGTGTCTCTGGACTATAGTGCTGGATTATGTCATTAAAGAGTTCAGTTTCAATTTTAGGGTAATATGTAAATAGATCATTGTACTAAGGCAGCTGTTAAAGGGACCCTAGGATGAGTTATTTGTTTAGTTGGATGTGTTCAACAATAGCCTTTGTCCCTGAAAGAGCCAGAGCAAACAAATGATTGTAAAAGGGCACACTTGAAAACAATTACTTTTCACCCATTCCTTGACAGCTTTGGCTGTGAAACCACCCAAGGTAGAGTGAACTTCTGTGCCACTGTGGCTTCAAGTTTTAGAAATAAGGATATTTTAGTTGATTGTGGATTCATTTTGGCTAATGGGAATTAGATCTTTTTGGCATACTATATTTGGGAGTTACAAAAAATACTGCTAAGATAATATAGCTTCTTAAATTTTGACAGTACCGACTTGGAATGGTAGTTAATCTTATTACAATATATATTATTAAAATGTCCAAAGAATTAAAATATAAAAATGTAATACAGCACTCAATGCTAGTTTATTAAAAAAAATTTGTTTGTCTGGAAACTGAATTCATTTGCATAGCTGGGCATTTTCAATGTCCTTACCGTTTGTTACTGTCTGTCTAAGAAATTTCTTCCCTGAGGAAAAAGTTGCTACCTTAGTTCCTTGAAAAACTGCAGAAATCTTTCTTGGGAACTTTTTAAAAATTTGTAAACCAACAGGGTCCTTTCAAATTGCCATTATCTCTCCTATATATACATTATGAAATAAGACTCTGACATATATTACAATCCAGGAAGGGCTTATGAGAAAAAGGTAAACCCTGAAGTTTATTATGAAATAACATGCTTTAAAAACTATTAAAACTTGAGAAGTAACATAGGTCAAGAATGTGTATGCACAGCTATATCAAATTTCTGTTTTGAATAATTTGAGTATTGTTGCTTTATAAACCACAGGCAATGGCACCAACAAAGTCTAGGGCACCCAACTTAAATCAGACACATTTTCCAAATGAGTAGGGACTGCTGGAGATTGGAGGCACTTACATCGAAAGGAATGTGGATAGCTAAGGTGGCCAACTGCTTCCTGAGTAATTTCTTTTTTAAAACAAAACTTTAATATCCCTCCTTCTAAGAGTTATAACTCCTCTCTTCAGGGTTGTAAGCCCCACCTCCTTCTGCCTAATAGGTTTAGTTAAGAACAATGTTTTCATTCCACATGTTCCTGTGAGAGGTCAGTACAGCTAGATCATCCCTGTACTTGTAAGCATCCGTGTACTTAGCACAGAGGGACACTCAATGGCAAACATTTCTAAACCTTTCTCTGAATTTCCTGGTTCTTTGGGCTCCGGATAAAACCTTTAAGATCTGAATGTAGCTGAATGCAACTTAATTCAATTATGGCGCTTAATGACATTGTTTTGAATAAAATGCTGGAATATCTGTTCCCTGCATCTCAGACTACTGCTGCATATGGTAAGAATAAAGAGTGAGTTGTAGCTGAAAACCTGCAGCAAGACAGTTTTCACTCATCTGGGAGTTGGACAAATGCTCCCTCAAAAGGCATGAACATTTGGACAGAGCTGGGGACTGAAAGAGAATGATGTTCTCTAGTTTCACCCATTAGTGAACCAACTAACAAATACAATGGTGTTGTTGTTATTCTTTTGCCATAAGCAACAGGACTCTGTGTGTGGGCAGCAGTTTACTGGGGAGGAGGATAAGTCGACCCCTTTTTGTCCTATTGATTTTTTCCTATTTGCATGACTTGAGCAAATTAAATGATGCAATATGGCTTTTTGTTACAAAACAAAGTGAGAGATACCACCCAGACACATATGTTGATTCGTAGGAGCTGTTTACATGAGAATAGAGTGAAATCTACCGTGAACTGAGCATAAAAATTAGATTCAGCCTGGGTATTTTTTTTTTTTTTTAAATGCCTGGGCCAGCAAAACTGAAGCTCAAGTTTTCCAAGTCTCTCAGACCTTGACAACTGCTGTGGGGTAACAGAAGAATTCCTAATGAAACCTAAAATGGGGAAAGGGAGGGAGAGCAAGGACACCTGATTGTTTATTTCATGTGCAGGGATTGTTAATGACGGGACCCAGTCTTTCCTTGGACTAAGCACACATTACAGCATCTCAAGGCAAGAATGATACTGCAAACTCAGAAATAAGCATGTCTCTGCACTGAACCAACACTGTTTGCTTATTTGGTTAAATTTATCAACACACGGGAAATGTAAATGCCACCGTTCTTTAAACAAATTCCTAGAGAAAATTTTCAGAGACAACTCAAAGCTGTACTTTATAATGCTACAAAATGACGGGAGAATCATCTTGGTTTTAGGTGATAAACACATTCCAGGGAAATCTCTGGCCAATTTTTCCAGGTCCTTAACTGTAGGTACCAGGAGTTGCTTTTAGCTGGTTCAGCTATTATAATTCAAGATACCCCCCCCCCGACGGGCTGAGGAGCATAAACCAAGCTTTAACATCCTTCCCGATTCAATCCTCCCAACAGAGCACGTGGAGAAAACTGCACAAATCTTTTTACCCAAGACAAATAAATGGGAAGCCACAGCCACCTTAATTTACAGTTTCACGGCAGCCAGTGCCCGATTCGATCCCGAACACTCAGGGGATCGCCATTCTTGTCAGATATTAACCCAGTCCAGGGTTCACGTGGGTACCACAGAAGAGGCGTCTCTTTTCTGAGACAGGCGAGTTTGCACAGCATAGGGACCGAGGACTCTGGGTGACCCAGAGGAACACACAACGGAATCACGTTACCCCTTTAGAAAAAGTTAGCGGAAGAGCTCCCCCAAGAAGTTTCGCCCTTCGTCCAGCTCCCAGAGACAAGGGGACCCCACCCCCCACCCCCACGGCCGGCGTGCCAAGTTCGCATCCGTGAGGCCGTGAGTGCCTACCTTGTTCTCCAGGCGCCCCAGCCCCGGGCTGTCACTTCGCAGGCAGCAGGACAGCCGAGGATAGAAGCCACCACACGGCATCTCTCCGCCACTCAGCAGCTCCAGCTGGGACATCATCCGCCTGTCCCTCCTTTTCAGGCGCTTTGGGGGGTTCCCGTTTAGGCATCGTCTCCTCCTCACTCCGCTCCCTTCGCTTCTTTCCCCAAACTTAGCATCTCCTTCAAAGAAGCCCAGAGCCACAGCCAGCAGCAGCAGCTTGAAGGACAGCATCTTCAGCATCGCCCGCCGTGAGCAGCAGGGGGGCTCGGGAGGGTGGGGGACCCGCTGCCCACGGGGCCGCTAGGGCGCAGCTCC